GAATTAGGGGAGGGGGCTGCGCTGTTGGGGTTCTCCTCTGACTGACCCACAGGCGGTTCTCCTCTGAACTGACCTCTAGCTCATGCCTGGGAGCCACTGCACCCACCCCCCCAACCCCCAGCCCATGCCTGGGAGCCACTGCACCCACCCCTCAACCCTCATAACAGAGCCCCCCACCCCCATTTTTGGGGCAAACTCAGCAGCAACAACGGGGGAAGGAGCAGGCGACACAAACCCACCTTAAACCTTCCCCTTCTCTTAATTGTTGAAGTGGCCTTAAAAAAAAACAACAACCCAAACCCACCAAAACACAACATGGGAGAGACGCATAAAACGTCAATAAAGCAGAATAATTTGAGCTTCACACTCGACAGGTCTCCGAGGGTTGTGTATGACCCACCTGCCAGGAGGGTTCAGAGCCGGGGAGAGGGGATGAAATATCGAGGATATTTGTCAATCCACATTTTACAGCTCTTAAATAAGCTCAAAAGGGCGCCAGGGATGAAACAGATGCTGCACGAGGGGGAGTTTTCAAAACGCTGGCCCAGATTTAAGGCCTTGATAAAATGTATTAAATCTTTAAAGGTTTTAATGAATCTAGTATGTGTTTCATAAATCACAAAACTCTGCTCGGCCCCCTCGCAGTTTAATAAGAGCAAACTAGGAAATTGCTCCGAGCTGAAGCAAAATACATTCATATAATATTGAAAAGTAATAGATTTTTAAATGTGGGGTGTTCTGGCTCGCAGGCAAGGCTTTGCTTCATAACATTGGTGCTATATCATTACCTTGAATGGGAAACCAGCTGCAGCCACATGTTTAATGGCATCAAGATGTGAACTAGCACAAAGGTAAATATTATTTGTAATAATCCTGAAAAGAGGGGGGGGGGGAAAAAAAAAAAGGCAAAAAAAAAAAAATCATTACTTCTGGACCAGGGGCCAGGAACATTCAGTGGTGCCTGAGCTGGTTTTTTAACAGCACAGGCTGTTTTATATGAACAAATGGTTTATTACAGCCCCTGCTCTCCAGCACTTCCCAACTTTTTCATCCCAGCCCCGCAGCGGTGGAGCCCCTATAAAAATATCTCGTGGCTTGGCCTGTGAAGTTAATTGAGACACACACTGGAAGGTCTCTGGGCAGCTCTCGTTAGCACCGTGGTCCCAGCCTGCCCGCAGCCCCCCGGTGTGCCCAGGCTGGGGAGCAGGGAGGGTCCCCCCAGCCCAGGGCACCCACCCCCCCGGGGCTGCTCCTCCGGGACCGGCCCCAAGAGCTGTGTAAAAGTCTGTCTAAGCTCATTAGCTGTCACAAGTAACAATGCTGGGCTGGCAATAAAGGCAATTTCGAGCCTGTTGCCCATTAATCACTGCCTGACAGTTGTGAATAGGGGTGGAAAAACTCTGTCCCCACGGCTCCTGCTCAGCGTTTAAGGTTACCTCCGTGCACAGCTAGAGAGTGCTGGGCTGGAGAGCTGCTACTCACCAGTTTCATCCCCATCCCCTTCTCCATCCCCATCCCCTTCTCCATCTCCATCCCCATCCCCATCCACCAACGCTCCCAGCACCCTGGGTGAGCGCCCAGTGCTGCTGTAACTCACCATGGCCCCGCTCCGGGTGCAAGGGACTCCTCACCCGTGTGCCAGCTGGTGTGGGAACTGTTTATTGGCCTGGGGAGCCCCCAGAGTCATCTGGCAGAACCCCTAAAGTGCCAGGAGCTCTTGCAGCACAAGAAAGAGAGGAAGCTGCTCAGTGGCTGGAGGATGAAGGGGCAGCAGGAGGGAAATCCCAGCTGGAATGGGGGCTGTGGCAGGACCTGGGGGCTGTGGGTGCCTGCCCAGGCCCCTGCCTGCTCTGGCATGGCTTTGAAAGGGAGATGAGGTGGGGGAGAAGGACTGCAAGGGGGGAAATACTTAACAAATTAAGTCTATTGAGCATTATTTGCAGATTAGGGTGCAGAATTGTGTTAAAGTATGTCCGGGCTCGTTCCATGTCACTGCTAACAATGCAGCACTTGGCAATCAAGGCAGTTCTGTGGCGTTGGCCATTAATCATCCCCTGACAGCCCCGAGCTGGGAAGGAGGAAACTGCTGCCATGTGCTGGCTGCACCTTGCTACCCTCACTGCCATGAGGTTCCCTCCGAGTCCCTGCCCACCAGGGCAGAGGGTCCTGAATCCACATCCCAGCTTCTCGAGGGGCACCTGGGACATGTGGAGACCAGGGCTGGCACTGCTGCCACCCCCAGGACACGTCTCATGGTGTGAACAGGCTCCCAGGGGAACAACCCCCTCCCAGAAAGGAGCAAACACGCAGCATCTTCCTCTCTATCCCCTTGCTCACCCCCCTAACCTTGTGGCTGAGGGGCTCACCATGCCCAGGGGGTGGCCCTGGGGGCAGCCAAGGCTGCCAGCCCAGCACAGCTCCCGTCCTGCAGACGCCAGCCACGTGGCCAGGGGCCAGGGTGCCAGGTCATCCTCCCAGCACAACAAGGAGCCACGTTTCCAGTCCCCCAGAGCCGTTTTCTAAAGGGAAATGATTAATGGTACTTGGAAACCACAATTCATCCCGGGAAAGAAAATGAGACTTACCCGAAACGTGCGTGAGAATTAGCACTCGGATCAGCTCCTGGGGAAGAGGAGGGGAAGCTAATGGCAAACAAAGCCTGTCAGTGCACAGGGGGCAGAAAACACCCTGGGAAAAACACGAGGTGCAGAAGCTGAGATGGAGCAGGGGCAGAAGAGGGGCTGCCAAAACCAGTGCCCCCCCCAGCTGGAAACCTCCTTCCCTTCCTTCATCTGCTCTGCAGCCAAGATGGTCTCCTGATGCAGCATGGAGAAGGATGGATGCTGCTGGCAGGACCCCAACTGGGCATTCCCAAACGTCCCAGAGGTAGCTGGAACCAGGGAGAAGCAGGAGGGGTTTTGCAGGACTCCCTCAGAAGGAAACAGGAACCGGTGGCATGGATTTATCACCCAATCCCAGGGATAAAAACAAGATCTCTGCCTTGATCTCTGCTCTGGGTCACAACAGAGCAGGTCCTGTTCAGTGAGCAGTGCAGAGGAGCTTGGAAAGGGCTCCAGGAGGGTGATTTATTTGTGGGATTCTGGGAAGGGCTGGGGAAGCCTCAGCGAGGTGCTGAAGACCAGGTCAGGAGTCAGCCCTGTCTCACTGATATATTTAGAGTAGGATAATGTAAGTGACAGGAGGGGAAAAAAACCAAAAAGTCCACGGAGGAGCCACAGATCCGTCCCCTTGGCCAGGGAGTTACTGGATGATCTGAGCTCTGTGGCAGGACCTGGGGGCTGTGGCAGGACCTGGGGGCTGTGGCAGGACCTGGGGGCTGTGGGTGCTTGCCCAGGCCCCTGCCTGCTCTGGCATGGCTTTGAAAGGGAGATGAGGTGGGGGAGAAGGACTGCAAGGGGGGAAATACTTAACAAATTAAGTCTATTGAGCATTATTTGCAGATTAGGGTGCAGAATTGTGTTAAAGTATGTCCGGGCTCGTTCCATGTCACTGCTAACAATGCAGCACTTGGCAATCAAGGCAGTTCTGTGGCGTTGGCCATTAATCATCCCCTGACAGCCCCGAGCTGGGAAGGAGGAAACTGCTGCCATGTGCTGGCTGCACCTTGCTACCCTCACTGCCATGAGGTTCCCTCCGAGTCCCTGCCCACCAGGGCAGAGGGTCCTGAATCCACATCCCAGCTTCTCGAGGGGCACCTGGGACATGTGGAGACCAGGGCTGGCACTGCTGCCACCCCCAGGACACGTCTCATGGTGTGAACAGGCTCCCAGGGGAACAACCCCCTCCCAGAAAGGAGCAAACACGCAGCATCTTCCTCTCTATCCCCTTGCTCATCCTCCTAACCTTGTGGCTGAGGGGCTCACCATGCCCAGGGGGTGGCCCTGGGGGCAGCCAAGGCTGCCAGCCCAGCACAGCTCCCGTCCTGCAGATCCCAGCCACGTGGCCAGGGGCCAGGGTGCCAGGTCATCCTCCCAGCACAACAAGGAGCCACGTTTCCAGTCCCCCAGAGCCGTTTTCTAAAGGGAAATGATTAATGGTACTTGGAAACCACAATTCATCCCGGGAAAGAAAATGAGACTTACCCGAAACGTGCGTGAGAATTAGCACTCGGATCAGCTCCTGGGGAAGAGGAGGGGAAGCTAATGGCAAACAAAGCCTGTCAGTGCACAGGGGGCAGAAAACACCCTGGGAAAAACACGAGGTGCAGAAGCTGAGATGGAGCAGGGGCAGAAGAGGGGCTGCCAAAACCAGTGCCCCCCCCAGCTGGAAACCTCCTTCCCTTCCTTCATCTGCTCTGCAGCCAAGATGGTCTCCTGATGCAGCATGGAGAAGGATGGATGCTGCTGGCAGGACCCAAACTGGGCATTCCCAAACGTCCCAGAGGTAGCTGGAACCAGGGAGAAGCAGGAGGGGTTTTGCAGGACTCCCTCAGAAGGAAACAGGAACCGGTGGCATGGATTTATCACCCAATCCCAGGGATAAAAACAAGATCTCTGCCTTGATCTCTGCTCTGGGTCACAACAGAGCAGGTCCTGTTCAGTGAGCAGTGCAGAGGAGCTTGGAAAGGGCTCCAGGAGGGTGATTTATTTGTGGGATTCTGGGAAGGGCTGGGGAAGCCTCAGCGAGGTGCTGAAGACCAGGTCAGGAGTCAGCCCTGTCTCACTGATATATTTAGAGTAGGATAATGTAAGTGACAGGAGGGGAAAAAAACCAAAAAGTCCACGGAGGAGCCACAGATCCGTCCCCTTGGCCAGGGAGTTACTGGATGATCTGAGCCAGGGAACAGATAGTTGGATTTCCCTAGTTTCTCCCTTCAAATAAATCACAGCTCCAGAGCCCTTTAAACTCTGCAATATGATCTGTTCCAATAAGGAAGGGAATGAAAGGCTGCGTCTCCCTGGAAGCCTCCAGAGCCATAAATCTACTATGTACAAACACATACCAGATTTCCAAGTGCATTTATTTTATTGTATTGTTTTAACAGAAAAATCAAGCTGCAATAAACTCAGTCCCTCATTAGCTGTCTCTGTGTCCGGGCCAAACGCCACTAATGAACAAAATCAGGACAAAGGAATGTGGCTGCTGGTCAAAAGCCTGGCTGGGCACTGACCCCCCTGAAAGGCACTTCCCTGGGAGCCCCACAGAGGTGGCTGGATGGGAGGGGAGAGCCAAGGGGCTGGTCCTGCACTGCCCATCTCTGCAGGTCTCCTGGGGTTTGGCAGCCCAAATCCAGCACCCCTGCCTGGGACTCAGCATCCCTGCGCATCCCTGCCATGGATCTGGTGTCCTTGTCATGGATCCAGCATCCCTGCCATGGATCTGGTGTCCTTGTCATGGATCCAGCATCCCTGCCATGGATCTGGTGTCCTTGTCATGGATCCAGCATCCCTGCCATGGATCTGGTGTCCTTGTCATGGATCCAGCATCCCTGCCATGGATCTGGTGTCCTTGTCATGGATCCAGCATCCCTGCCATGGATCTGGTGTCCTTGTCATGGATCCAGCATCCCTGCCATGGATCTGGTGTCCCTGCCATGGATCTGGTGTCCCTGCCATGGACCTGGTGTCCCTGCCTGCCCCACACCACAGCAGCTGGAGTTACGTTTAGTTGTGGTTCCCAACACTGGGCACCTCAAGTGAGACACTGAAGAGCAGGGTGAACCTCGGGGCAGTTTGGGGGGACACGTGTGTGTCCCCATCCCCCCAGGCTCCAGGGGACCACCCAGCATGGAGAGGCACCTCCGGCCTCCCCGAGCACAGGCTCACACCCCAACCAGCCCGTTTTAGGGCTGTTGGTCATTAACCATCCACTGACAGTCCTGCAGGGCTTGGCTGCTCCACCAGGTGGGACAGGGACGTGCCTGGCACAGGTGGCAGCGCGGATGGCACCGTCCCCTGGGATGCCTGGAGTTCTGGGTTCTCCTGTCACACCCTGGCTGCGGGAGAATCAGCAACTGGGTTTGATGGGGGGGAAAAATGGAAAATAGAGGCCGAGCTGCCCGGGAAGGAGCAGGGAGCCTGTCGGCAGGATTTATGGCTCTGGCTGGAGGGCCCGGAGCAGCGCCCAGTCCCGCCTCAGCCCACGGAGAAATTCCTTACTTATTGAATCACATTTGTCATCCCTAAATACATATGCAGGCCCGTGTTTCTGAATCCATAAACATCTTTAACTGACTCCGCTCAGCGAGGCCTCTTTCAGCAGTAATTTATATTTAACTTTTTCCATATGCGGGGCCTGTCATTGGTGTCATTTCCGGGAAAACCGGGGGGGCTGGGGGGGCTGGG